CATGCTGAGAGTCCACAAGGTTCGTGATCAACGCAATGGACCTCACGACGCTCCCTACGCCCAGAGACTCGACCTAAGATGGGTCATTGTAGGTGATGTCTGTCTCGATGGAACACACAAACCAGACCACATAAGCACATTCAGAACGAGTGTGCTCACGAATGGACGCACGTCGCTATTCAAACCGTGCCCCAACCACTTCACGCTGAAAGAGAAATTCGACGATAGAAGTCAAGGCTGTACCATGCAGGCCGACGAAGAAAGCTCTATGCTGAAAGATGATGTTGGACATACGGTGTTCGTGACAACGAAGGACGACGACAAACCTGCTCCATCGCTAGAGGATAAAGAATTCTTGAAAATAATGGACAGAGAGTTCTTCCAAGATGAGTCAAACAGTTGGGTTGCCCCTCTGCCATTTCGTAATCCCAGATGCCGGCTACCCAACAATAGAGAGCAAGCCCTCTCACGGCTCAACTCATTGCGCCGCACCTTGGACAAGAGACCAGAGATGAAGAATCATTTTGTGTCCTTCATGAAAAACATATTTGACAGTGGTCACGCTGAAGCGGCCCCTCCTCTAGAAGAAGGACAGGAATGCTGGTACTTACCAATCTTTGGTGTGTATCACCCAAAGAAGCCGGATCAGATCAGAGTGGTGTTCGATTCCAGTGCTCAATTTAAGGGCATTTCCTTGAACAACGTAATGCTCACCGGACCAGACTTGACCAACAGTCTCCTAGGGTTACTCACCCGTTTCAGAAAGGAGTCAATCGCTGTAACAGCCGACATTCAACAAATGTTCCACTGCTTCATTGTCCGAGAAGATGACAGAAATTACCTCAGGTTTCTGTGGTACCGCAATAACAATGTCGATGATCGAATTGTTGAATACAGAATGAAGGTGCATGTCTTCGGCAACAGCCCATCCCCAGCGGTAGCCACCTATGGACTTAGGAGGACCGAGCAGGCAGGAGAAGGGGAGTTTGGGGAAGACGCCAAGCGATTTGTAGAGCGAGATTTCTACGTTGACGACGCACTTAAATCAATGCCCACGGCCTCAGAAGCCATCGATCTGCTCCAAAGGACGCAAGGAATGTTAGCAACTGCTAACCTGAGACTTCACAAGATAGCATCCAGCAGCGCAGAAGTAATAAAAGCGTTCCCTTCAGACTATCATTCAAAAGACTTGAAAGACTTGGACCTTAACGTTGACACACCACCAATCCAACGCAGCCTCGGACTGAGTTGGGACCTGAAAGTGGATACGTTCACATTCCGAGTATCAATTGGAGGGAAACCTTACACGCGACGTGGCATCTTGTCGATAGTAAACAGCCTGTACGATCCACTAGGATTTGTAGCGCCGGTCACCATTCAAGGCCGTTGGATACTCAGAGACCTTTGTGCTGACACCCTCAGGAAGCTAAACCCTAGGATGGACGAAGACGGCTTGCTCAGGATCGGTGGTCGGCTAGGGAATGCAAAATTAGATGAGAACGAGCGGAACCCCCTCATAATCCCAAGTCAGAGCCACATTGCAATTTTACTTGTGCGCCACTATCACGAGAAGCTCAAGCACCAAGGTCGGCACTTCACAGAAGGAGCAATCCGATCTGCAGGGCTGTGGATCGTTGGAGCGAAGAGGTGCGTCACCAGCATAATCCACAAGTGTATCAGGTGTCGCAAGCTACGTGGAAAACAGGAAGAACAGAAAATGGCAGACCTCCCAGCCGATCGACTCAGTGTAGAACCTCCCTTCACCTCTGTAGGGATCGACGTGTTCGGACCATGGACAGTCATCTCCCGCCGCACCAGAGGAGGGCTCGCGAGCAGCAAACGTTGGGCAGTGCTGTTCACCTGCATGAGTACACGAGCAGTGCACATCGAAGTCATCGAGTCCATGAACTCTTCGAGCTTTATAAATGCACTCCAGAGAATCTTCGCCATCAGAGGGCCAGCCAAGCAACTCCGTTCTGATTGTGGAACCAATTTCACTGGAGCATGTAAAGAGCTTAAGATCAGTACAGAGAATGTCGAAGATGATTCTGTCAGGAAATACCTTAGTGACCAAGGCTGCATATGGATCTTCAATCCTCCTCACTCTTCGCATATGGGTGGAGCCTGGGAACGCATGATCGGGGTTGCTCGACGCATTCTCCACTCCATGCTGTGTGATGTCGGGTCCACACGGCTCTCTCACGAGGTCTTGACCACTCTCATGGCCGAGGTCTCAGCCATAATTAATTCAAGACCCCTGATCCCCGTCTCAACTGACCCGGAGTCACCATTCATCTTGACTCCTGCTACACTTCTTACCCAGAAGACAGACGTGATCACAGCACCTACCGAGGAGGCCAGCACTGCAGACCTCTACAGACGTCAATGGAGACAAGTGCAGAGCTTCGCGAACACGTTCTGGCGTCACTGGAAAAAGGAGTACCTTGCGACACTCCAAGTGCGCAACAAGTGGCAGTCTAACAGACCAGACATCCAAGAAGGCGACCTCGTCCTATTGAAGGACAACCAAGCCAAACGGAATGAGTGGCCAATGGGCCGCATCCTCAAGTCGATTCCAAGTGCCGATGGAAAAGTTCGAAAAGTCGAGGTTATGATTGCGAAGCAAGGTGTCGCAATAACTTTCTTCAGGGCCATAGTCGAGACAGTACTACTTCTCTCTCGCAAAGATATGGACAAATAAGTTGACCCATTGAAGTTGTTATACACTTGTTTATGAGATAGGAAATAAATGGTGGTATCTCCTAGATACCAGACGGGGAGTGTTCTGCCTCACGGCAAGTGTCTTGCCTCACGGCAGATGTGGGGCGTGTGTACACAGGAATTTCCTGTTTTTGAAATAGGGGGTGGTCACGTGACCAGGAAGTTGCGATTTTAGATTTCCGCTGAACCACGCGGGCGTCGGCCATTCAAAACATAATTCAAGATGACGGCACACATCGCAGCTCCATGAAGACAGCTGCAACCACCGTTGTGGGACTTTGGGAAGCATTGTCTGTAAGTTCGTTTGTGTTCTTATGATACTGGCAATGTTGCTATAATATTAGGACCTTTATAATGCTGTTATAACGCTAGAACCTTTATAATGCTGTTAAATTGTTACGATGTATGTGGGACCTAGTTGACAAGCCTGCAGCTTGCCTTGTTGTGATTTACCCGTAATCGAGTAAGTAGATTCAAACTTGAAATAACAAAATGTCTCATTCATAAGACAACGTTATGATGCTGTGGTGTTTATTCATTGTGTTGTTTTTTCTGGGTATTAACAGATGCTGTATCTGTGCTGTTTTCTTACCAGTTTTACCTCTCTCTACCGTTCAATTTCAATAAATGACGTTCGGAGTCAGATGTTCACCCTGGCTCTGAGGGTTTATTGGAAACGCGAGGTTATCTACTCAGCTAGCTCTGCAACGCAACGCAGAGCGAGGCCGAGATACAGCCTTTCATGTCGACTGTATTCTGCTTTTTCAGCTGCTGCCCGTATTGCCTGCTTTTTATGTCAACTATAGCAATGCTTATGTTATTGATTCAGCGTACTGGCAGTCTATAATATGTATGTGTGTTTAATTCCATGTGTGTGTGTCTTAGTCAATGTGTGTAAGTACATATGTGTGTTTACGTCAATGTGTGTGTGAGTCCACGTATGTCTGTGTGTGAGTCTATGTGTGTGTGAGTCGCTGTATGTGTGTACGTCGATTTACGTGTGTAACTCCATGTGTGTGTAACTAAAGTGGATGTCTATGCGTGTGTGAGTCCATATGTGTGTGTGTGTAAGTCCATGTGTTTGTGTGTGCGAGTCGACATGTCTGTGTGTCAGTCCATGGGTGTGTATGTTAGTCGCTTTGTGTGCGTGACTCCATGTGAGTCAGTGTAAGTCAATTTATTTGCGTGTCTGTAGGTCCATGTGTGCGTGTGACTGAATGTATGTCCCTCACCCTTTGCTCACGATCTTTAAAGACCTTCATGATGGTGAGCGGCCCCGTGTCAAACTATGTGGCCGTCAGTCAGAGCCTTTCCCTCTACACCTTGGGGTGTGACAGGGATGTCCTCTGGCTCCCACATTATTTAACATATCTTTTGACCACGTAATTCGTGAAGCCTTCAATGGCTGTACTGGAGGAATTACCATATGGTACATATACAATGGGAGGCTGATCGATGCCTGGGTGCGGTCAAGGGATGGCTCCCTATTGCTCAACCATGTTATGTATGCCGATGCTCTGGTGATTGCTGCTCACTCAGAGGATGAGTTGGAGGCACTGCTGCTGAACCTGGAGCTTGCCACTAAGAGGTGGGGCCTTACCATCAGCCCCACCAAAACTAAGCACCTGCCTGGGTATTTTGTACCATCGGACAATCTACCCCCACAACTCACAATTGGTGATGCGGCAGTTGTGGAGAGATTGGAGAGATTCCCATACCTGGCCAGTGTGCTCATGACCGGCTCCGGTTTAACAGCAGAGGTCTCACTCCAAATCAGTCGAGTGCCATTATCTTTTCATCGGCTGCGTTACGCTGTGTGGAAGCTACCTGGTCTCTCGCTCCGCATGAAGCTCCAGGTCTTCTCGGCCATGGTAATTCCCTCCCTTCTCTACGCTTGCGAAACGTGCACCCCCCTAATGAAACATCTTCGCCAGTTAGAAACATTTAGGCTGGCCTGCTAACGATCCATCCTGGGTTTAACCATATGTGTGTGTGTGTCGAAGTCGATGTATTTCTATGTGTGTGGGTCGATGTCTGTGTGTAAGTCCACGTGTGTGTCTGCCTTTTTAGCTCGGGCAACGCCAGGTACTAACCGCTAGTACCTAATAAATTAAACTGAAAACTGAACACTGATAGCCTTTCAACACACTTCCTGAGAAAGTTAAATATAAAATATGATCACGTAAAACGAGCCAGTAATATACTGTTAACATCCTTGGAAATCACTTTACCAAGGCACACCAGTTGAAGTTTTGAAAAACACCCTAAATAGATTTTAAAAACATTACCTGAAGATTAAAATATCACTCATAACTCCATCGCATTAACTCTATAGTAAAATTTGTAAACCTACTTAATGGCTATAGCCCCAATGCATGCCTCATGTGTGTACACCTGCATTATTCATGAATAATCTGCTTGTGTTTCTGTCTACAAAATATCTTTAAAACATTATTCCATGTAACTAACCTCTCTGCACTCCCATTCATCGCTTATCGTCCCCTGCGAGCTCAGCAGATCATCCTCTCCGCACTTTTGCCAGGCCAGGGCAATAAGTCTGCAGCTCTCTCTTCTCTCTTTCAGCCAGTGTCGCGCTCCGAGCACACATCATCACCCCGCGGCCTCAGCAGCACGCAATGAGGGTGGATGACGAGGCACCTGTTTCATCGTTCCTCCCTCGTAACTTTAAATTTGAGGCCACCAAATAGCCGTGCTGTACTTCCGCACCATGCGGCTTCACGCCCGTCTCTCTCGGGCCCTTCCCTTCTGTCCATCTAAATCAGGGCATCTCCCCTCCTGTCAATCTCCACGTCCTGTCCATGAGACACCTCCCCTCACCAAATGGCACAGAGCGGAACCGAGGGAGGGGTTGAATAAGGGGGGAGGAATCGAAAGGGCCACTGCAGTGTGTAGATGTCACGCACATGTGAATGTGTAAGCACGTGTGTTCATTTGAAGTAAGTTGACGTTTGAGTGAACTCTTGCAACAAATGCAAGGAATTTATCAACATCTCGATGCAGGACCACAAATTATTTCAAACTAAAGGCAGATGTTTTACTTCTCAATTTATTTGTCAATAACAGTCAACACAATGAACACATTCTTGGTTCTTTCGTGACTTTACCGAAAAAACCAAGAATATTAATCCCTGCAGTCACGAAAGCTTAAAATAAAACAATGAACACAGTCAACATTTGTACATGTGTTTCTGGATGCACTATGTGTCTATCCGTATCATGTGAAGTCAAGGTAATTATAGAGATGTTTTAAATTGAAGATGTAACGCTTCAAAGAAGAGCACTGCTTCATATAATTCCTAGTTGGCGGCAATGGTCTGGTCGATCCAACTGCGTATGGCGGTGACGCGTGTGTACACGACCGGCATGCTGGTGGAGCACGAGCTACTGCCCCACGACACGATCCCCACGAGGTTCCATGCGCCGTTCTTCTCGCACACCAGGGGGCCGCCAGAGTCACACTGTAGGCAAGACACACACACACGAATGAATTCCTTGTTATTAGGACACATCTGTCAATTTCTATTTCTACAAAGCAATAGGTCCCATCAAAAACACAAATGACAGAGACCAAGATGTCTTAAAGACATACTGCTTTGTACGTCTGCTTTCATAGGCTAAACACTGTTTTGGGGAAAAAATGCGAAATTTTTCAAGACAGTGACAATGGGCATAAGATTGGAATCAACTTACATGTATTTATTTCTTTGTCGTGGTAGGCACAACAGACAATTTGTTTCAATACAAATTTGTTTCAGTACAAATTGACTGTCTATTGACTTTATAATTGAGAGTGGATGACAATTGAAAAATATAGCCATGGTCGTTCTTTAATGCAAAATAGGAAAAACTACTTGACTTGACTCCTATGTTTGTCGTGGTCAAATCTTGTAATCAAAATTTAGTCTACTTCCTATTGTCCAATGAATTCCAATTTTTGCACACGTACTCAGATCCGGTGACAATGCATACCTGTATCAAAATCGGCAGCAATTAATCAATTAATTGGCTCTTTTAAAGCAATACACATTTTGTATGGACGGCTTATTAATAAAATATTTATTTAGGTAGGGGGCTGTCCATAAATGACGTCACGCACCTGGGGGGGTCAGACATTTGTGACGATGTGTGACAAGGTTTGAGAAATGTGACGTCACATCAAAATGCGCAACTTTTAATAAATACAGAATTGTTATAACAACACTAATTTTGATTAATTTTCATTATTAACTATTTGATTATTTAAATTTACTAAGGTCACCTTTTATTTATTCCATGAAGGAGCATTTTGCTTCTCCATGGGAGAATGGAGAAGCATACATTTTGAATTTGTTTAATTATTGTTATTAAACATGAGTCTACCAGGGCTTTTCATTCTGTGGAATGAATATATTATTGTTATAATTGTACTCTCAATTTTGCTTCGTTCTACTACAAAGTTTCAAGTATATATTTTTTTATAGTTTTAATTTTGATATTCATTTCAATATAATATTCTGAACATCTGCAGTTTTACTTAGACGTTGAATATTTTCAAATTAATTTATGCTAAATTTAAGCTTTCCAACGACTTTTTTAATGCATGTTTTCTCCTACAACATCAGAGTGCAGCGCCACATTAAATACGCACTACAATGACAATAGTTTACAGCGATGTGAAGCATGTTTTATTTTCAAAATGGAAATATGGTTTTGGGGGGGGGGCAGAGCTTTGTGACGTCATATTTGAGGGGGGGTCTGACTTTTTGTGACGATGTGTGACGAGGGAGGGTGGTCAAAAATCGTCCAAAATCGCGTGACGTCATTTATCGATGGCCCCTAGCTTAAAAACGCTGCGGTCCCTAAACTCTGGAATCGCCTCGCCCAAGAAGCAGGCGCCACGTGTCTCTTGTAATCAAGTTGTCGTCCACTTCCCGTTATTCAATCGAGTTATTTACTTTTTAGTGCACTTAAAAATGAAACTGTTGTTTTTTTACTTTTTTAAGGCGTTTATTGCTATTGTAAATGTAATTTTGAACGCCATATTACGTCAGTTCCTCTTACTCGCGTCATGCATACAATTATTTTGGATAGCTTAAGAGATGTCCATAGTACATAATTCTGGTTGTTAATAACGGTATTATGTATTAGTCATGTTTATAAAACATCCTTGCTTTCTATGTAACTCCTGTAAACACGCCCTTCCCTCGTAACATTGCTCAGCCATTTTATCTGTGTCGCCACTGAAAAAGAGCTTCTTAACTCAATGAACTGAACGACTGACTGAGGTGCTCACCCTGCACGAAGAAGCTCCAGCACCACCAGCACAGATCATGACGTCGGTGATTTTGTTCATGCTGGCGAACAGCTGCTGGCAGGTGGGCGTTGCCACAATTGCCAGAGCGGTCTGTTGCAGCCTTGGGGGTGTGTCGGAGTCTGAAACGTCAAACACGTCACCACGTTTGAGTGTAAATCCTATAGCTATTTCGAACACTTCTGAAGAAGCATTACCTAGTGTCAAATGATAGTTACCAAAATTGTTGGTAATGCCCCAACCAGACGTGACACAGTTCAGGCCAGCGGGGACGTTGTCAGAGGTGGAGGAGAGACAGACGGCTGAGACGCCATCGGTCATCTGAGCAGGCTGGGGCAGCTTGATGAGCGCAACGTCATTGTTGAAGCTTACATCGTCCCACTGGGGGTGGTTGATGACCTGTGCAGATATAGAAAGGATTAGAGGAATGCCATACACTTATGTCAAATACGTAGAGTAAAACCTTTTAAAGCCAGACTACTTCGTGGAAGAATATCATTATGGATCATCTTCTTTGGTTCTTTCGGTAAAGTCACGTAGAATGAGAATAAAATAATAAATTAATAAAATAAAATAATAATAAAATTCTCACGAAACGTGGACAGTCTCGTCCCTTCACCTGATGAAGGCCGCTTGTGTTGTGGCCGAAACGTCGTGAGAATTTTATTGTGTTATTTTATTTTATCAATTTATTATTTTATTCTCATTCTACGTGACCTTACCGCAAGAACCAAAGAAGATGAATCCTTGCAGTCACGAAAGCTTTCAATCTAAATTATGGATCATGCCTGATAATGGCTTAATTTGAATTATATTTAAAAGTAAGTAACAATCCACTTAGATATAATGAATACGTTGTAACTTAATAACTACATATGTAAAATGTAATACTGTCAAAAAAATGTCAATTCACTCGAGCGTCATTTGAGTCAACATTGCCGTGAAGCACCAACTGGCCTCAGATTACCTTGGCGATGGTCATTGTCTGGACCTTCTCGGAGCTGGAGCTTCGGTCATGCTCACCCAAGATGACACGGTGCTCCGAGGGGCTGTTGAGCAATCACAATCCATCACTTCCATATTATCCCAAATGGGCTAGAGGTGAGCCCTTGGCCATGTCAGGCATTCACATACTGAATTTAATAAATTATGTAAGTTATTTGTCAATCCGCTGCTGGATAAAGGCCTCTTCAAGCTCCATTGTGTGGGTTGTTTGACTAAACGTTACAATGTTTAGTGCACGTTTTCACAACATTTTAAGGTATACCACAGTTGTATTAACATGAAATAAAATAAAGATTCGAACGTGCACAGTATCTGCTATTACTCAAGAGTTGTGAGGAACTATGGACAACCAACAAGACAGCCAGGCGGTCAGCCGGTGCCAACAAATGCCTAAGCTGTGGTTTTCTCTTTCTGCCAATTAATGACGGTTTATACATGTGGGAGGAAACTGGAGCGCCCGGAGAAAACTCACGTGTGTGAGGGGGAAACACTCTCCCATACACATTTGCTGTACCAGCCTTCTGGCGAACCAGGGTATGGCTCATCGACGCCCATGGGAAGGGAGTTTCACAACAATCCACTATCTTTCGTCTCCACACTGCTGAATTGCAGGTATGCACAGCCACTACCACCATGTTAAAGTGCATGGTATAAGTTCTGAACGTAATTTCATAAAGCTAGAACATAATCACGAACATATGTACCTCTGCTTACAACATATTACATGTTTTAACCTTGTTTTATTAAATTCTGTACATGTGCGTAGTAATTGTAAAAGTCATTAACCACTTATTTTCATGATGCTGGAATTGATTAATTTACATGGATTATTTTTAGAACATATGAAGACTTTGTAGGAATATTAATGATTGGATCACATTTTAAATTAAAATGTAAATACATATACAATATGTGGAGATGTGTTCCTAAAGGGTATCAAAGCAAGAATTTCCGTGGCAAAAGCAGCATTCAAAGAAGAAAGAATACTGGTAGCATGAACATGAAACGAATCGCGTGACTTTTAAAGATCCACGTATAAAATATGGTTCTGCTGAGATATGGATACTGAAATGAAACAGCAAAGATGTATTAATTAGTTTTGAAATGTGTGTGGAGTTGAATTGGAATACATATGCAGTATTATTTAATCGTGCCTGTGAACGCAAAAGCAATAGATTGGGCATATATGAAATACGCTCTTGTAGGATGAAGGAGAACATCTGAAAAGGTAAACAAAAGTGTTATTTTCAAGGGTGATGTTACAAGTGCAATATTTTATAGGATGGACAGAACTAAAATTGTGAACCTGCCCTCATAAAACTCAAGAAACGTTACATGAACAAATAATTTGAATTTAATTACCTGATTTTGCAATGAGCAGCTGTCACAACCCAGTAAGGGTCAATGAGGGAGCCGCCGCAGAAGTGGAAACCAGTGTTGTTCTGCGTGGTGAAAATCGCATGGCTTTTACATTGGTGCTCAGTGACTCAATCCTCGATTTAAAATAATAAAATGTAAACGTGATTATTTCTCAAGAACTCGTATATTGTTTTTAATCATTTCGATCTTAGTTTGCCTTCTATCGTTTCCCGAGGTATATAATCAAATGTACTTTGCCCTTTGTTCACTTCACTTGCTTTTTATGTTAAGTCATGAAAAGTATTAAGCCACAGCTGAGGAGCTGTATTGGTAAACATTTGTTCCATAGCTATGTATAAATTATTTATTTGTATTTCTGGCAACCTTGCCGGGTAGTGGAGGGTTTAAGAAAAAATTGTTGCATAAAACTGCCACGTGGCCAAACCGTTAAACAAATATCAATTGGTTTTGTATTATGTTCATATTACTGGACTCATATGTTTGTAATCCAAGTTTATGCTTATGCCATAACTCCCCACACTGCCTCCCACATGCACTCTGGCCATCGCCATTAGTTTACATCTGCAAAAGTTGACTGGCATTCACACGGTGTCATTATTAAAGGCAGGTATTGACACCATGTTGCCGGTGAATATAGAGCACTCACCTGCAGGGACACCTGCCAGGGCCAGGAGCCCGGCATCGCTTCCTCGCCTTTGACGATGCGGGAGTAGCCGGTGATGACTGGCTTGATGGCCGGGACACCACACCCTGTACATATACAATTATTTAAGACTTCTATGATTAAGAGACTTATCTCTAGCTTTAGATATCCATATCAGCTCAAACTTACTGTAAATCACGTAATTTATATCTGGTTTCCCTCACTCTAGATTCCCTCTCCCCCACCACCCCCTGTGAAAACAGATACTGCTCCTTGTAGCCGAATTGAGGCCCTAATGTAACCTCTTTCTTCTTATCAGCTTTGCTGACAATTTGGCATAATTTTTCTATACCTTTTTCATCTTTTTCCTCTACATTTTTTTATTCTCTTCCCCCTTGTTTTTTTTCATACATTGCACGCTTGACGCTACTCCCCTTCCTGTGGTGTGCTACAGGTAAAAATTGGAGAGTTCTGTTCAAAGAACATGTAGCAGAGTAGGTCTACAATGTGATGAGCTGCCAGCTTTTTTAGCATGAAGAATAAAGCCATGAAAGAACAGCATATACATCGCCATTGTCACTCACCGAAGGTGACGCCGATGAAGGCAAAACACGAAATGAGCCAGAAGAGAGCCATTGCTAATTCCGTAGACACTGCTGGTCTCATGCTAATTTTCAGGCTCTTTTATACGGAAAAAGAATGTTAATAATTACCATATTCTCATATATTGTCGACATTTTAATTACTCAATCAGATGTCATATCACAGATGTATTGGGTCGATATCTGCACATGACCTTGACAATTTTCATCACAGCAGGAATCATGATATATTTTCCATAAAACAGAATAGAGGAAATATTTTATCTGATATTCGTCTACTTCATATTCTTAGTTCTTTCGGTAAAGTCACGTTGAAGGGAAACAACAAAATAATAAAATATATATTACTTTACCGAAAGAACTAAGAATATGAATTACTGCAGTCACGAAAGCTTTAAATCAAAATTCGTCTACTTGTTTAGATAAAATTGGAAACATAAATATGTAGTGACGTAAATGGAGTCACTATGGCGTTTAGCGTCACCTAACGTCACAGGAGTGGAGCTATGTGTCTAGGGCCTCTCTTGGGCACCAGAGGTATGCCATGGAAGCGGGCCCTAGGGGGCATAGTCCTGGTGACAGAGAGAGGTCGAGTAAGGACATGACAGTCTGGGTTACCCCGAGAGGGCACATGACTGGACGAGGTGGCAAGGGGGGCGCAAAAGGAGGGGAGAGGGACATGTGATGTAGGGACCAGAGTCTTCGAGAAGGATCTGGAAAGGGGCGTGGCCAAGGGCAGAGCCCGGCCACGCTGCGGCCCATAAAGGCCGAGTCCCAAGCCCTGATCTGGGCTGTTCTCTGAAACAACCCTTGGCACTACGTCTCTCCAATTTTCGGTTTCCGCTTGGCATCGTGGATCAGTCAGGATGTTACTGACTGACCCAGTTATGTAGTTACCCTGTAGGAGTCTAGTTAATGTGTGTACGTTTATGTAGTTAGCCCCGTTGGAGCTGTGTAATAAATGTGTTGCCTCCAAGTCAAGTGTGTGCCTCCGTGAAGAACATTATAACTGGTGTCAGAAATGAAACATAATAGTTAGGTGATAGCCTAGCGTAAAATAATGTTAACTAGACGGAAACAACTCACCAAGTCGTCTTCAGACGAGGAGGAGGACGACGGGGTGATTCCACAGACAGCCCCGGGAGCTGCAGCCCCGGAGATGGAGCACAAAGATCTTCTGCCGGTGGAGCAGGGAAAAATCCCGGACCTTGTCACGCCATCGCCGCCGGAGAGGGAGTGCCGATCGCGGAATGCGTGCATTGACGACCTTCTGGCCACCGTGGCAGCTCTGCTCGCTGCTTTAAAGCAGGAAGAGGATGTCGGGGCACCGGAGAAGTGGCAAGACATCTCCGCCACCGCTGTTTCCCGTGCATGGGAAAACAGAGAGGCGTGGCCCGCGCAAGTGGCCGCCATTTTGCCGGATGGGCGGGACGTGATTCCCGCCAAACAGACCTCCCGCTGAAAGCGCTGAAGCTTCAAGAATACACTCTGAAAAAGAGGCTTTCCTTCTTTAGGGAATATGCAGCTGCGGGTGGTTCCTGGGAGGCGTTTCGATGATGCTTCGCCACCGCCTGCGCTTTTGCGGGATGGACGGAAGCGCTGTGGGTGCTTCCCACAGCACTCGACGACAACGTCTTGGCAGCAGTCGATGCCATCGCGTCTGAAGAGAAGTCGATGTTGCCTCAAGCCCTCTTACAGGTGGCGGCGATTTTTGCACCGCCATCCAACAAGCGCCAGAAGTTCGCCACACGAAGGCGGGGGGAGGCCGAGATGCCCCTCACCTTCCACAGTCCGCTCATGGCACTGGCGAAGTCTGCGCACCCCAGGACGGACCACATCAGAAGGGATTCCCTGGTCCTCGAAAGAATGGTGCTGCTGGCCCAAGAATTTAAAGTCGTCATGCCAGCCACGGAAGAGGACGACTTGTCCTCACTGAAAGTTGCATGGTGCCTCCAGGCACATTTTAACATCCAGCAACGTGAGAGTGCAATCCAAAGGACATGTGAGCATGAGAGTGCAATCCAAAGGACGTGAGCATGAGAGTGCAATCCCAAGGACATGTGAGCATGAGAGTGCAATCTAAAGGACTTGAGCATGAGAGTGCAATCCAAAGGACAGGTGAGCATGAGAGTGCAATCCAAAGGACATGTGAGCATGAGAGGTGCAATCCAAAGAACATGTGAGCATGGGAGTGCAATCCAAAGGACATGTGAGCATGATAGGTGCAATCCAAAGGACATGTGAGCATGAGAGCGCAATCCCAAGGACATGTGAGCATGAGAGTGCAATCCCAAGGACATGTGAGCATGAGAGTGCAATCTAAAGGACTTGAGCATGAGAGTGCAATCCAAAGGGCATGTGAGCATGAGAGTGCAATCCAAAGGACATGTGAGCATGAGAGTGCAATCCAAATGACATGTTAGCATGAGAGTGCAATCCAAAGGACATGTGAGAGATCTAAGTTTCAAGTTTCATTTTTCTTGGTAAAGCCCTGTGAGCCATGCGGCTCTTAAGTCGGGTGCAACCGAAACAAACAATAAGAGAGAGGCATAGAGAGAGAGACACACAGAGAGTCGGAAATAACAGCTGACATAGGCAGGTAGGATGGAAACATCACAGTCAGTTAAGACTTTACCTGGTTAATAACGTCCTTCCAATGTTTTGTACCCATCTTCTCGGTTGAAGTTGTGTCTGTGTTTATACATCTGCATGGCTTCATGAACAAATCTCTGAAGGTAGCCGGTAGATTTGCAGAGTACCTCCGTCTTGGAAAAATCAATTTCGCGTGAGCCCACAGCGTTAAAACAATGATCAGCAACGGCAGAGGTATTGGTCCTACCGTGTTACAGATCTGCCTTGTGTTCACGAACGCAGTCCAAGACATTTTTCGTTTCCCCAATGTAACTGCTGCCGCAACCACAACTCAGTTTGTAGACACCAGGGTATTGCATGTCAGGAATCAATCCTTTGGATTGCACTCTCATGCGCACATGTCCTTTGAATTGCACTTTCATGCCTTTGGATTGCACTCTCATGCTCACATGTCCTTTGGATTGCACCCGTTGGGTTGCACACCCTCGTCCAGGAGGCCGCTTTCCTATATTACAGTTCCATGCTAATTGATCACGTTAACATATGCTAATCTCTCACATTAACATAGTCACTTCCGTGCCCTCGTCGAGGAGGCTGCTCCCTTATCACTTATTTATGACCCTTGGGCTACACCCATTTCAAACCTTTTAAAACAGTCTGCCTCAGCAGACCATGCTTTCCCACCTGATAACGGACGCTTGTGTTGCGTCCAAAACGTCGTGATTTATTTTATTTTATACCTATGTGACTTTACCGAAAAAACCAAAGCGTATGGATTCCTGCAGTCACAAAAGCTTGAGATCATACTAATCTCTCACGATACAATGGCCACCTCCTCAGCTCTCGCAGCTCTCGCAACACCCCCCCCCCCCCCCAATCTCGGTTCCCATCTTTGGATTTCTCACTCGTTTAGGCACAATCTCTAGCCCCCACCATCTTGCCCGATGCGGCAACCCCCCCCTCCCCCCCTCTTGGCTCTATATATAAGGACTTGTTTCAGCAGCCTGTTTCTCTCTTCCATCTGAAGACGATTGCTTGTGTGGCGATCTAAACGTCGTGATCTATATTTTTTTTACCTCCGTGACTTTATCGAAAGAAACAAAGAGTATGATAAGGACTATGAAGGGTTCCTCTTTATTTCAGGCTCTTCTTTGGTTTACCTTTTTCCTTATATTATCTGTCGCTGGGTAAAATCATATCGAGGTTCAATGTCAAATACTATTTTCTTGGTGACAATTTCTAACTGGGTGGGAGATGGTGGCCTTTGCATGGCCCACTTGTTACGTGTTTTCACGTTACATTAAATATGATACCATCATCTAGGCAAATATGGATTATGTTAATTAACAACATACATCAATGTATACATGCCCCCAAATTATGGATGACCATCACCTCCTCTGCCAGAAGACACTCACCTGGTTTTATCTGTGGGTGACTTCAATATCCACCACAGGCAATGGTACTATCCATAAAATGACAAAGCCAAAGATAAACTCAAGGAAAGATCATTGGCACAAGACACATTCCTGAAATATGACCCGAAACAGCCGGGCAAATTTTACTCTGCCTGATGGAAAAGGGACTATAACACAGACGTATGCTTCATCTCAAAGGACAATGAACGTCCACTAAATGCTTTGCGAACAGTTCTTGGAAATTTTCGGAATTGCCAACAGATCGACAATCATTTACATTGGATTACTGATATTGGCCATGACCTCAAAACCATGTCCACAGTGGAACTTTACAAAGGCCAACTGTTCAGGCTATGAAAAAGAAACTGAAGCCCATTTAACGATCCTCGTGCAAAAGCCTGAAAGTTATATGAATTCATAAAAATTCTAACATTTACTGCAAAAAAGTACATCCCATGGGGGTATCATAAAAGCTACATGCCATATTAGACACCAAAAACAGAACAATTCTTGAAATAACTCATCAGTAATGAAAACCAAGATAAGGGTACCGCACTCTTGGAGATTCCCTGCACAAATACAATTTTGGGAGACATTTCTGCATATTCGAATCTCATTCACTCCAGCTGTAAAACCTGGAAGCTTCTCTGGAACATTGGTTCCTCAAAATCCACAATGAATGCTTATATTTCCACGTGCTATTTTGCCAAAAAGGACAAACTCACCAAACAAGCTGTTCAAAAACAACTTGCCATGACCATAAGCCAAATATTGCAAGCAACAAATCTAGCAAGACCAAACACAGTCGCTGAATTGGAAGCAGCCTTCATGGCCACAACGTCTAACAAGGCACCAGGATATGATGGCATGTCTTGAGTTTTTAAAGAAGCTGGGACTATATGGACAATGGCTTGCAAACTTCTTTACCATCATACACAGCATAGGCAAATCCCGAAAGCATGGGAGCAAGCCAAAGCCATTACCATTCTGAAAATCGGAAAGCTGCATGACTCGGCCTCCAGTTACAGGCCAACATTGATCTTGTACTCTATCTCCAAGCTGATGAAAAATGTCAAACTTGCCAGACTTTCCCCCATTATCAACCCCAAACAGCTCGGAGTTGATCATCAGCCACGTGGACTACTGCAATAGCATCCTTGGTGGTGTCAGCTCTGTTCACCTGCGGCGACTCCAGTCGGTATAAAATGCTGCAGCTAGTCTGATAGTTAGGAATCAGAAATATGATCCGAGTTTGATATGTGATGAGCTGCACTGGCTCCCTATTAAATAGAGAATTGCGTACAAATTATGCCTACTCGTCTTCAAGAGTTTCCATCAATCTGCTCTCTCCTATCTCGCCGATCAGTGCGTACCCGCTTCAACAGACCCAAATCGACTCCGACTACGATCCGCGGCTCGCGGCGACATGCTGCTGTACCCGCGTGTAAACCTTGTGCAATATGCCCAGTGCAGTTTCGGGGTCTCCGGCCCAAAAACTTTGAACACGTTACCAACTCATGTTCGGGATCCATCCCTGAGTCTGAGCCAAATTTTGCAACAGACTCAAAACAGTGTTGTTTAAGAGACCCTACTTCAACGTGTGATAAATGCGCATTGTGATGGACTGGACTCATAATAGTGCGCAATAACAAATGTTTTTACTTACCAAACAAGACGGTTTTTGAACTGGCAATAGCTGCTGTGAACAGATTGTTCCCCTCACCACCCTCATAGAGTCTACTTTACAGTATTAACAAAAAAAGTCACAGCAATGATTGACCACTCTGCCATCTATGATACTTATACGTATCATGGCTTTCTGCTGAAAAGGACCAAAATCATCAGATGCCGCCCTGTTGCACACCTAATCGATACAATTCTCAGCAATCATTATTTAAGGGTACATCTCGCTGGTATTCACAGCTGCAAGCGAATTGTGAAAAAATACCCTCCCTCAGTGCTTAGTTCTAGCACCATCACTATTTAGCATATGCATAAGTGACCTACCATGCACATAATATCTCAAGTTCATATATGCATATGAAATAGTCCTTGCTACACAGGGCACAACCCTCGAGAACAGTGCCAATGCTTTAACAGCTGATATAATGTTATTGGAGGCATAGTGCCTTCGCTGGAAACTCAGACCAAATCTCTCCAATATCAACACAAGCGCTTTCCACCTTAACAATCATGCAGCAGATGCCACCCTTGACGTGCCCGGTGTACAGTGCCTCCACTCTAAGATATATTGGCCATGCAATCCAAACTATCGACACTCGTGAAGCTCTTTCGTGTCTAGCAGATCTCGGCATTGCCTTTTAGCTATTGACGATATTGCCATGTGAACTTTCCAACCCATCTGCACTAACGAAGCTTAAAAGCACACCTGGAACCGGTCTCTAGCCAGATTGCCTTGTTACTCCAATTGCATTTAGCAAAGACAGAGATCCTCCAAAATGGAAAAAGTCCGTTATGAAGACTTTTTGTTTATTAATTACTATCCGTTTTCTAAATTCTGACATCTCAAATAAGGTGTGACATCTCTCTATCCCAAGGGCTCATTCTCCCATTACATCTGTAAACGTGTCTGCAACTGTCGTTGTTTATGGCATTTTCTAACTTCAAGCTGTGACAGTCTCTTATATACACATGTACCTCCTGAATCCTACACTTAATTATATGACATTCCCAACGTCCTCCTGCTCAACCGATAGCTGCTACAAATTGCGGTAGCAAGACTCCTCACCTGCATGTGTAAATGTGACCACATTACACCTGCATTGATTGTCCTTGAACTGGTTGCTGATAACATTTTGGATTGAGTACAAGGTTGCTGTGACAGTCTTCAAGCTTTGTGCGTTGGCCCGAATATCTTACCCGACACATAACTCTCGACTGCCCTGCAAATTGCCCTTAAGTCCGGAAATAGAGATCGCCTGGTGAAGCCACACGCAGATCTGCAAACGATGAGGGGGTAAACTCCTTATTAGTTTCTGCTCCCCTGATCTGGAGGTTGTTTGTACTTGAA